TGGGGGAATTTAAAAACTAACTTTAGCGTCCTCCCACTGCGTTCCCGGCGGTCTTCTCTTTGGTCGCCTTTCCTCGACACGCAGACTCTGGAGAGCTTCCTTTGCAATGTTTGATTTAGATCCAGGTTACGATTTTGTCCGCATCTCCTGCTCGGCTTTCTGATTTCGCTCCCCCCCCCTCTCCCTGAGCAGCGTCCCCTTTTTTCCCCTACCCCCCCTCTCTTTCTCTCTCTTTTTTTTATTGATTTTGAACAATGGGGTCTCTGTCTGTCTCCGATTAAACCACGTGGATCCGCCTTCCTTCCCCTTTAAAAAAAAAATTCACCCCCCCCTCGTTGTTTCTCCCCATCTAAAAGGAGAAAAAAGCAACTTTCGCCCTCCTCCAATAGTAATTAGGATCAAATTTCAAGCCGTAACCTGTATTAGGATGAAGGAATTGAAAAAATAATATCGCCTGTGATTGGAAATGAGCGAAAGCGCCAGCAGAAATCTTTCAATGTTCTGGACGGCTTCCTGTGAGCGGCCGCGGCCCCCCCTCCCCTCCTACCGCCCGCCCGCCCACCCACCAGCTACACTTCAAATATAAACATGAGCCGCCAGGACATGCAAGGCTACAAAACAGAAACACATGTACGGGCAGGAAAGGAGGAGAAAGAGGCGGCGGGAAGCGACTCGCTGGCCCCAGACAAGCCGCTCCGGGAGCACAGCGCCGCTTGATGGGCTGGATGACGCCCGGGAAGCAGGTCTCCCGCAGGCGCCGGATTCCAGGAGACGGTGGTGCGCTTAGCTAGCAGGGGCATGAGCCCTAGTGGATTCTTCAGGGGGGGGGGGATTGTCAGTCTCCTGAGCCCTCCCTGGGGCCTCCTCCGAGAGCCACCTTAGCATTTCGCACCCCGGGCGGAGGAGGAGACGGTGGAACAGGTGGCACCAGTGAAGAGGGCAGGGGTAGAGATGTAACATTTCCGGAGATTTTGAAGCTCGGGGGAAAACCCCGGGGTTTTTTCCTGGGGTTTTTTTTTGGGGGGGGGGGAAATGGAAATTTTTGGAAAAATTGAAAAAAATGCTACATTAGCACTTCTTTTTT